CTTCACTCTTGTCTTCGTCGCCGGGATCGAGGCTTGGAAGCTCGTCAAGCGCCAGTTCCACATCCTGGAGGACCTCCCTGTCAACCGTGGCCACTGGGGCCAGGGCAGCAACGCCGACGACGAGACGGGTACCAAGTTCCGCAAGACCATGTCCATGTCCAGCTTCAAGACATGGGCCTCCTTCTCCCGCAGGGACACTGGCGAGTCGTTCGGACGTGCAAGCACCAAGGTGGGCAGGACAAGCACCAACCACGTCAGCACTGGCGGTATCGTGGGCGGTGCGCAGGCTATTGCCCAGCAACAGCAGAAAGAGGAAGTTTAATCTGCCGGCGTATGTTTGGATATATCCGAGAGGATTTGTTGTTGATATTTATTAATGATTTTTACGGCCGTATTTCTTGCTCATGATATTAGAAACAGAAAACGAAAGGATCTGGTTAGTCAAATCAGATTAGGCGTCTCAGAGATGCGAATATACGATACCACTGTAGTGTTAGGCTCTTGAGGAGGTTGGATAAGTCTATTAGGTTAAGTGAGAACGGCATAGTGGAAGAAATCAAAAGTTATTACAAACAAAAAATCAAAATGGAGCCATGTGAGACTGTAACAAAGCAGAATGGTCGGCAAGTGCTTCAGAATCTTGATGACATGGATCTGAATTAATATGATTGAACCTATAATATTTCCAAGAACTACATCTACCTAACATACAACACAACCATGTTACTTTATCCTGAACTCCACGCCACAAATGCTACTAGATCCCGTATATGTCATCAAACACATCGACTGAGGCCAAAGGTCGCAAACAGTGATTACAAAGCCAACATCAAAACAGCAAAACAGCCAGTAGCAACCGGAGCCAAACCGCGATGTTTGGACCAAGACGCCGCAGCAGACTCGCCGCTCTGTGGATCGAGGCCGGTGGCGCTCGACCCGAGATACCACGAGCCAATATCGGTCAGCTCGCCGGCCTTGTTGAGGAACACGGCGTTGGGGCCCACGTTGGACTTGTCGGAGCGGAAGGCGCCGAAGTAGGTGTACCGGCCGATGTAGTCCTCGGAGTCGAACAGGGTGATGGACTTGTTGTAGAAGGACTGGGTGGCGGCCAGCTCCTGGTTCGCGTATGCGTACTCGGTGATCCAGATTTCGGCATCGGGCCAGCTTATGCAGTGTTAGCAAATTGATGTTTTTTTGGATGACCGATTATATTTTGGTTTGGTCGACTTACGTAGCTCTGCGCTCGGCAATGTGCGACGACAGCCCCTCAAAGTTGTCGTACCAGTGCACGGGGAGGAAGTCCCACGTGCAGTTCTTCGTCGCGCCGCCGGTGCTGACGAGCTGGGAGCAGTTCCCGAGGAACTGCTTGAGCCAGGGGAGGCCGTCCCAGCCGCCGGTGCACGCGGGTAGGCCGAGTTTGACGCCAAGCTCGGCCAGAGGCTCGAAGTTGGCGACCCAGGCCTTCGCGGCGTCCTCGGGGACGATGTTGCTGCCGCCTGAGCCGGCCGTGCCGTCGGGCTCGTTGAAGCCGAGGACGTGGGTGATGTTGGTGCCCCCGTCGATGAGGGCGCGGACTTCGTCGAGGAATCTCGTGTCGTTGAGGTTGTTGGCATCGACACCCCACATCATGGGGACGAACTCGAACTGCTCCTGGGAGAGATTCGAGTAGGCGGGCGAGGGGCGAGAGTCATAGTTGTAGTACCACGAGAGAGACGTGCCGGCCCTCGTCCAGATCTTGTTGTCTTCGGGGTGGTTTGGTTCGGGGACGAAGCAGAGACCGCGCTTGTCGGAGCTGGCGGCTTGGGCGGCGGCGAGCAGGCCCAGCACGACGAGGAGGGAATTGGCCATGCCGGCTCGGTGTCGTTGAAGGTATTGAGACTGCGCCCTGTGGTTTTCGGACGGTTAGACTGCCTGCCTTCTCTTGGTCAATACCAAAGTCCCGCAGTCAGTTCAACTCCTGGATCCCTGGGCGCCAAGACTTCCTCAGGAAAGGAGCGACAGTGGACGTAGGAAACAACTTTAATGGAAACGAACACAGTCAAGCATGGTACGGGAAACGCAGATGGAAAGACACGATCACCATCGCAGGGAAGGAAATTGCGAAATGCAGGCGGCGCGTAACGAAAGCAGCCGCCTGCAGATTGTGCTGAATCCTTTATCAAGAAGGCATATCGAACACGAAGTTTTTCTTGGCTTTGGATGTAACCGTGGACAAGGATGCTTAATCTCACTGGCGGTTAGCCTGGCGGGCATCCCCACAGGTTGACAGGCATGATGCAGATGGCCAAACTCCCCGTAGATTGAACAAAGAGCCGTTGTAGTCCCATCGCCAAGATGACCACCAATGCTTGACGGTTCGTGTCATGCTCCATTTCACCTTAGTGGATGGGGCATTTTGGGTGATGGACCTGTTTGTTTAATGGGGAGGACTGGCGTCGATGATGGAGCATTTAATGGACCCATGCAAGCAGGGCATTGGAAAGAGGTGGGACGGGGATGCTGAGCAGAGAGCTCCCGCTCCTCGTCAAGGTCGGTTGAAATCATCGCATGGCCGGGCTCGGACGATTGGGCCATTCATAGGCAGTAAGCATCCATAAAGCGCCATGGCTGATGGGTGATGCTTGTCTGAGGTGAAGTTGCAGCTTCTAGAAGATGTCCGTCTAGATCTTCAAGCGAGAATATGATTACATAATGCACAGACCGGATTAACTGGACACCGATCTCCGAACAAGCCGAGGCACTCGTCGGCCTCGGCCCGACCCCACAAAGTCAGGGACGGAGTGCATAGTGCCCCGGTTAGCTGAGGCAGTGAGATCGGAGACAACCTTTAAGCTACTCCGACACCTCATCTTCATCCGGACCTCCATTTCCTGATCATCTCCCTATTCTCTACACAACACACAACCTCCTCCCCCACCAAACAGGAAGACACCATGGCTGCCGAGCGTATTTCTTCCATCGTCCGCCACCTTACCCCTGGCACTCCCCTGAGCAACATGTAAGATTGATATCAAGCCACCGCGCGGAGTAGCTTCCTCCTTGCTGCATCCAAAGTCAAAAACATGCCATTCTGACTGTAGAAACTCATAGCCAGGCTAAGAATGCTGATGACATCGTCATTACTCTTGCCGTCCGTACCCCGCTCACCAAGGCGAAGAAGGGCGGGTTCAAGGATACGAGCCTGGAGTACCTCGTATACGCCCTCCTAAGCCAGGTCCGGGAGCGGTCTGGCCTCGACCCCGCGCTTGTCGAGGACATTTGCCTGGGAAATGTAAGCATTCGTCATGTTTCCACAACACGATCCTCCTACCCCTCTCAGAAAATCCACACCATAGAGGAGACAAGCTCACGATGTGCAGGTCTCGGATGGCAAGGCTGCGTATAAGCTCCGCGCGGCTGCATTAGCCGCTGGGTTCCCCAACACGGCCGGCGCCTCGTCGCTGAACCGCTTCTGCTCGTCCGGGCTGAAGGCTATCGCGGACATCGCGCATTCCATCAGCTCGGGGTCGATCGAGGTCGGCATCGCGTGCGGCGCCGAGCTCATGTCCGTTGGCGGCGACCGCCTGGAGGCGCCCTTCGACGAGGCCGTCCTGGCCAAGAGCCAGGAGGCGGCCGACTGCATGGAGCCCATGGGCTGGACCAGCGAGAACGTGAGCCGCGACTTTGGCATCACCCGCGAGGAGATGGACAAGTTTGCCGCCGAGAGTTTCCGGAGGGCGGAGAATGCCCAGAAGGAAGGTTGGTCTGTGGACGAGATCGCCCCAATCAAGACAAAGGTCAAGGGCGCCGATGGAGAATTGACCGAGGTGACGCTCACCAAGGACGAGGGCATCAGGCCAGGTACCACCGCCGAGGGTCTGGGCAAGATCCGGGCCGCGTTCCCACAATGGGGACCTACCACCACCGGCGGCAATGCGAGCCAGGTCACTGACGGAGGTGAGTTACTGCTATCTGGTTTCTATTGTTTGGGGAAGAAAGCTCAACGTGTTCTCTTCTCATCGAGTTTGAGTTTTGCTCACGGCCCAACCCCCGCCTCACACGACCGTAATCTACGTATCCAGAGCTTATTTACTAACTATGGAATCTTAAATTAGCTGCCGCCGTGATTCTCATGAAGCGATCTACTGCCATCAAGCTCGGACAGCCAATCATGGCAAAGTATGTCGGATCGACGGTGGCTGGTCTCGCGCCCCGTATTATGGGAATTGGCCCGAGCATCGCGATCCCCAAGCTCCTCTCCCAGCGCGGCATCACCCTCGACGACATTGACGTGCTCGAGGTCAACGAGGCGTTCGCGTCAATGGCCGTGTACTGCCGCGACAAGCTCGCCCTTGATTGGAGCAAGATGAACCCACGAGGCGGGGCCATCGCGCTGGGCCACCCCCTGGGTGCCACGGGAACGAGACAGGTCGTCACGGGTCTGAGCGAGCTACGTCGGACGAAGAAGAAGATGCTCTTGACCAGCATGTGTATTGGCACTGGACAGGGAATGGCAGGTTTGTTCGTGAATGAGCAGCTGTAAGGGACTTGGAAGGATACAGCTCCCCTGAACCCGTAGATTTGCTCAAGCAGCTCTCCACCTCAAGGGATCAGTATATTGTATGATCATGGTATAGCGATCAAGTTGAATAGTACATCATGCTTTCTTTGTGAATGCATCAGGGGTTGGCGCGTCGCGTCAATCAAACCTAGTTGTCGTGCAAGGTGAAACTCACGAGATACGCCATAGGAAACTCTGATGAGCTGTTACGAGCCTGCAGGAACATCTCGGTCTCTCTTAGACGCTCTCTAGACGTGCGGTAATTATCATCATCCCGCAGATACGAGTCGTGATCAATGGCGAAAGCAATTGATGGGCCACGCCCCTTCCTGTCGCTGACGAGTTCTCAGGTATAAAGCTGGCCCTTGTTTCCCTCTACCCAGCCGAACAACAGCAGCATCCGCAGTCGTGAAGACATCAAACAGCAGCAGACTAGCTCAGATCTCACTGCTACTTCAACATGCGCTACTCAGTGGCTTTCCTTGCGGCGGCCGCTGCCGTCGCGGCCCATCCTGTCCAGCAGGGGTATGCCCCCCTCCCTTTTCCTCCTCGCACGACTCCTCACTTACCTTCTCCTTACCATCTACCAATTTCATCTACATACCTCAATCACATCTGTCTTGTATTGAGGGTGAGCTAATAGACCTCTCCATAGATATGCGCCGGGCATGATTGCCCGTGACCCCGAAGCGGGAGATGGCACCCTCAATGCTGCCCTCATGGTTCGTACAAGGCAATCTACAAACAAAGGCTGGCTATTTGACACTAACCCTAATCACAAAAAGGGCCGAGACGAAGAATCCCGTGATAAGAGCGAATACATCGTAGCCGAAGCCCGCTCTGACGAGAAACCTGTCAGAGCCACGTCCAAGGAAGAGAAAGCTGCACATAAACAGAAGCTGAAGGATGCGACGCAGTGTAAGCAGAGCATCGATGACGTGAAGGGGAAGCTCGACGACGCCAACCTGGAGTTTCCCGACGAGGAGAGGGCTCTCATGAAGAAGCTGACGGCCGAGTCCGAGGCTGAGGAAAAGGAGAAGGTGATTAATGCCAAGGATCAGAAGGAAAAGGCCGAAAAGGCCAAGGAGAAGGCTGAAAGGGCTAAGGAAGAGGCCAAGGAGAAGGCCAAGACGAAGAAGGAAAAGGCCAAGGAGAAGGCGATCGAGAAGGCCAAGGAGAAGAAGATCAAGGCCGAGGAGGAGAAGATCAAGGCCGATGAGAAGAAGATCAAGGCCGATGAGAAGAAGATCGAGGCTGACACGAAGAAGATCAAGCCCAAGAAACTCACCAAGGAAGAGTTGGACCAAATCTTGGAGAAGAGGGAGCCTAACAAGAAGGAGAAGGAGAAGGCCAAGGATGCTGCCAAGGATGCTGCCAAGGATGCCGCCAAAGACGCTGTCAAGAAGCACAAGGACGATAAGTCTGAGAGAAAGTCGGAGAAGAAGACGGTGGTGAAGTCCGAGGAGAAGATTGATGAGAAGACTGTCACAAAGGACAAGAGGGGCGTTGACAAGAAGAAGAAGAAGAAGCCTTCCAAGGAGAAGGAGACTTCCAAGGAGAAGGAGACTCTCAAGGAGAAGGAGACTCCCAAGGAGAAGGATGACAAAGACGCTGCCAAGGAGAAGGAAGCCGATGCCAAGAAAGACAAGGCTGGTGAGAAGGAGGAGCCTTCCAAGGTGAAGGAGACTTCGAAGGAGAAGGAGACTTCGAAGGAGAAGGAGTCTTCCGAGGAGAAGGAAGCCGATTCCAAGAAAGACAAGAGGGCATTGTCTAAGAAGAAGAAGAAGCCTTCCAAGGAGAAGAAGCCTTCTAAGGAGAAGGAGACGTCCAAGGAGAAGGAAACTTCTAAGGAGAAGGAGACTCCCAAGGAGGACGAGCCTTCCAAGGACAAGGACAACAAGGACTCTGCCAAGGAGAAGGAAGCCGATGCCAAGAAGGTCAAGGTCGAGGAGAAGGAGAAGGAGACTGTCTCCGAGAAGGACAAGTCTGACAAGAAGAAGGATGCCTCCGAGACAGGAGAGGCTGTCGATCTTAGAGACTTGAGGGTAAAATTCCCTGCTCGAGACTTCGTCTGCGATTGTGAGAACCATTCTGACAGGGGGCACAAGGTTGTTCGTGGAGACCCCCTGGACGAGGACCAGAAGCCATACGAATCCAAGGTAAAACACCCTCCTCGCAACTCTATCTACGCCTGTGAGAACCATTCTGACAAGAGACACAAGGTTATTCGTGAGGACCCTCCTGACAAGGGCCGTAAGTTCATCCGTGAGGATCCCCCCGACAAGGGCCGCAAGTTCATCCGTGAGGATCCCCCCGACAAGGGACGCAAGTTCATTCGCGAAGACCCCCCCGACAAGGGCCGCAAGTTCATCCGTGAGGACCCTCCTGACAAGGGCCGCAAGTTCATCCGTGAGGATCCCCCCGATAAGGGACGCAAGTTCATTCGCGAAGACCCTCCCGACAAGGGACGCAAGTTCATCCGTGAGGACCCTCCTGACAAGGGCCGCAAGGTGATGCGCTTCTTTTAACTTGTGACATGATGCGAAGAAGGGGTAGCTAGCCCCCAGAGATCTGGAACCAGACGATCCTCTGGGGGTTGACCGTTGAGTGAGTGTGAGAAATAACAGCCACTCAGTTCCAACATTGCTAATATTCTTTAGTGCCACCCTCGTCTCAACTCATGGTGCAGCAAAGCAAGAAGAAACGGAGCCCGATTGTGATATGGACGGATAGTCGTTGGCCCGGGGTTCATGCAGAGGCGATAGATTCTGACAAGTTGGACATTGAGGACCTGGAACCTAAAGACGGGGAAGAGGAAAAACGGTGGTGTCCAAAGCGATAGAGTCTATCGATGTCTGTGATTTTCATTCAAGGGGTCGAAAGTGTGGCTATGTTCGTCCAGTTTGTGTGTTTTGGGAGTAGTTGAATATGCTGAGTTCTGAATTTGCCTGTATTACATGGCTTGACGTTTTCCTTGGTGATGCCATGTTTTCTTTGTCTTGCCTACCAATCAAACAGTGGCTACAGCTCAGCTCGATGACCGTCTGAAAGCAACCCAGGAACCCCAGCTGACCGGGACTACATCTCTTCATTGCTCCTGTTTGCTCATAGACTAAGAAACCCAATGAAGCAACAGAGCTGCTCACGGGGTGGCATGCATGTCCCACCCTCGCGAGGCAAACGTCATAGCTGAGTGAGCATTGGGTGGATGCAATCGATGCCTCGACTTAGGCAAACACTTCGACAAGTACAAAAACGTGGGTTCACAACATCGTGACGAAATGGACTGTGGTCAGTCATTGATGGGTGTTTCATATGGTGGTTATCTGTCTTGAATGTGATCGACATCCGCAACGGCAAAAGATGCGATGTTTTGGGCGCAAGGAAACGAACAAGGTAAGCGGGTGTAGCAGCAGAAGTCAAGTTCGGCTGTTGTTGGTTATCTGAGGCTGCACTCGTGAAGTTATCCTTTGGGGGTGGGATTTAAGGTGGGGACAGAAATGTGAACCAACGGAAATACCTTCACTTTTAGCCATCACGAAAAGCAAGGCAAAAAGGCAACCTCGACCAGCATAGGGAGACGTGCTAGTGGACAAGCGAACTAGGTGCGTAAAACCCGCCCTGCGCCGATGTGTGTGCAGGCGACAGGCGAGCATCGCACTGAATTGGCGTTTGGTGGTGCGACGCGAACTCGAGTCAGGTCGCAGAGATGGGACGCATGTGCTGAATTGTTGGCTAAGAGTGTCTGGCCTCAATAGCTCGGGAGCGACTAATAAGCTGTCAAGACAGGGACAGACATGGGACAGTTTGGCTGTGGCGGGTGTCGTGATCCAAGCTCAATTGAATCGGAGGGCTGTCAGCAGGAGCACCGCTGATGTCATTGGGTCGTTTTGGATGCCGGGTGAGGTAATTGCTTTCGTATCGGTGGTATTGCATTGCGCCAGAAGCAGGTCGTCAATTTCAAAGCAACACACACCGCCGACTGCGGACCTCCACAGCTGTGACATCTGAAGCAAGCTCTCTCTGTGCATGGGTGGGACACAGTCGGTCAGTTGGTGCTAGGCATGCACGCACGAACGGTGATGGGGCTTCTCCAGCCCGTCGCTGGCTCCGTCACGGCGTCAGGAAGCTGGACCCTGATGGGGTCGGAAAGAAACGAGAGTGCGTATGGTTGTAATTGAGTTGAGGCGTCGTGTTGATCATCGCTCTCTTCTTGTCTCTCTTTGCCCTCAGCTTTTTGCGACAAGTTTAGCCTCCATCTCGAACGCGTCCAGTCCGATTACGTCGTAGGCAGGCAAGGCAGGGTGCTAGATTAGCGTGCAGCATCCTAGCGCCTGGCAGTTATTCCCGGCTGCTGAGCGAGGACTGCGGCGTGCAGCGACTGCCCAAGAGGAAGGGCTCGCTGGAAACGTGAGGCAGATAGCTCTATAGGATGAGTAGAGAATAATGATCTTGAGTGATGCTTGGGTGATGCTTTGGCTGTCATTGTGCATGGCGCTTCAATGGTTGCGGCTTCCTTTTCTTTGTGCATGAGGGGTACGTACCTCCTGCCAGCCAGCCCAAACCAGCCTCCAGGTGACCAATGAGCCATCCTAGATGGAACGTGGGGAAGCAACGGCCCAGGGAGGACCCTTCCATTCGTTCTGCTCTTCCAGCGCCGTAAATGGCCAGCCGAGACCTCTCCATCTTTTTCTTCCTCCTCCGTCTCCTCCTCCTCAGCTTGTCTTGTCTCACTCCCGTCTGCTGCAGATACAAAACCAACAAGCCGCCTCAATTCGTTACATCTTCGAATCCCCAATGAGCATGCCTTGAGCACAGATCACTTCCAGTCCTCAGCGCGCAATTCCATCGCCTCTGCCATGTTATAGGCCTCGTCGCTGACCTGCCTTGCTCTCTCCATGTCTTGGGGCTGCCGTCATCCGATCCCGACCGGTCCCATCATTGCATCTTCTTGCCGCACGACCAACTGAGCCTTCCTCGACCCGACCGACTCGGTACTTGTCCGCTCGTTTTCCTCCCTCCCGCCGCCGAGATCATACACTTGCCGAACCTGTTGTCAACACAGCCCATCCCGCGTAAACCATGACTGGACGTCCTGACCACCAGCGGTCGAGTTCCTACAACGGAGACTATCGTCCAACCCAACCCAGTGGCCTCCGTCAGTCTCACCGCGTGCCTAGCGTCAGCAACCAGCTTTCTGAGGGTGCTGCGTCTGCCCAGGCCAGCGAGTCCACCCCGTTGATCCAGGGCCAGATCATTGAACCTTCCCACCGTCGACCAAGCATCCACCCCGCCCACGAAGGACTCTGCACTCACGGAACATTCAGCCCACGGGCTGAGAGTCCAACCGAGGCCTTCTTCGGAAACTGGGATGATGAGGGGCCCAACCCCGACCCCAATAACAAAAACTCTGACTCAGACTCGTCCCTGCCCAACTTCGCACCATCCGATGATTGGCACAGATGGCTGAGGAGGCGGATCAAGACCAGGAAGATGGGCCAGAGTAGTGAGCTGGCTCAGCAAGCTGGAATTCGAGATACCCCTCTCATGTACGTCCTGTTCCTCGTCGCCCCTCGCCTAAGGATACTACCCTCATGATACCCAAGCACGGCGGGAAGGAAAAGCTTCATTATTCTAACAGAGCATGCAGGTATTTGTCCTACTACATCCCTTTCCTAACATGGATTCAGCAATACAACTGGTCCTTTTTGAAAGGCGACCTCGTCTCCGCATTGACCATGGCTTCTTTCTATCTGCCCATGGCACTCTCCTACGCCTCCAACCTGGCTCATGTCCCTCCCATCCACGGTCTCTATGCCTTCGTGTTCAATCCCTTCATATACGCAGTCTTCGGTTCCTGTCCGCAGATGGTTGTTGGACCTGAAGCCGCCGGGTCATTGCTAGTAGGCGCCGCGGTAAAGCAGAATCTTGCAGATGGTGGGGAGGACGATGACATCCTTCACGCCCAGATTTGCGGTGTCATCACCGGATTGGCAGGTGCCATGGTCCTAATTGCTGGGCTAGTGAGGCTTGGCTTTTTGGACAGTGTGCTTAGCCGTCCCTTTCTCCGCGGCTTCATCAGCGCCATCGGTTTTGTCATCGCAGTAGACCAACTCATTCCTGAGCTTGGACTTTCCGGCCTCACCGCCGGGACAGGTGTTGGTCATGGGAGCAGTGTGGACAAAATCAGATTCATCGTCGGCCATGTAGACAAGGCTCATATGCCTACATTTGCTGTGGCCGCCACAAGCTTCGTCATCATAATGGTCTGCCGGTATGTATACTCTGAACCCCGCCATCAAAAGTCAACATCGAGCCCAGTGTCCAGTTTCCATGAACCGTATAGCTAATCAATTTATTCTTCATCCACAGCGAAGGCAAGAAGTATCTCCAGCCCCGTTATCCTTCTGCCGTGTTCTTCCCTGACCGGTTTATCGTTGTCGTTGTGTCTGCGGTTCTCTGTTGGAGATATCAATGGCATGATCATGGGGTTGAAATTCTCGGTGAAATCAAGACTGCCAGCGGAGGCTTGTTTGCTTTCCAGTGGCCATTTCAGCCAGCGTTAATGGATCATATTCGTGCAGGAATGACCAACTCTTTCCTCATTGCTCTTCTCGGCTTCTTCGAATCTTCCGTGGCTGCCAAGAGCCTGGGTGGAAGCAATACTATTCAAGGCATGCAGCTTAGTGCGAATCGTGAACTTATAGCTCTCGGAGTTGCCAACTTTGTGGGCGGATGCTTCTCCAGCATTCCGGCATTTGGAGGTTACGGCAGGAGCAAGGTGAACCAACAGACTGGCGGCAAGAGCCCAATGAGCTCCGTGTTCCTCAGTATCATCACGCTTTTATGCATCTTATTCTTGCTACCCTACTTTTATTATCTTCCTGTTCGTACCATCCAGTTCTTCCCTTTCTCCTTCCGTCCCCATTTCTTTTACCTCAGTCTCGAAGCCACAAATTACTAACGGTGCCGTAGAAACCTGTCCTCTCCGCTATGATTTCGGTTGTGGCATTCTCTCTCGTAGAAGAAGCGCCACACGATATTGCCTTCTTCGTTCGCATTCGTGGGTGGACAGAGCTAGGGTTGATGGCTATGATCTTCCTTGCCACAATATTCTACTCGTTGACGTTCGGTATGGCTCTCGGAGTCGGCGTGTCGCTTCTCATGGTGATCCGACACAGCACGCGTCCCAGGATACAGATCTTGGGCCGCATTCCCGGGACTAACCGCTTTGAAAACGCCGAGTCGGCAAACGCAAACGTGGAGTTTATCGAAGGCTCCCTGATTGTCAAGATCCCCGAGCCATTGACGTTTGCCAACACTGGCGAACTAAAGGCACGGTTACGGAGGCTGGAGATGTATGGGACTTCTTCGGTGCACCCAGCCCTCCCCGCCCTACGCAACACGGACGCGAACAGGAACATCATCTTCGACATCCACGGTGTGACATCGATCGACGGCTCTGGGACTCAGGTTCTAACCGAGATCGTCTCCGACTACAGGGCGCGAGGCGTGCGAGTATTCTTCT